ATAAGCACCTTCTACTCTGTGGTTCTGTTTAGCTGTCAGTCATCATGGTTTGCTTAGAGTCCTCTATAGTTAGGCCAGTCTGGCAGATTCTCCTAGGGCCAGATAGCGTCCTCTCCCAGGCACCCAGTGCATCCACATCTCTTCATGGACTTGAGGTGAAGGGTATTTGTCTATTTCTTGGGTGATTAAGCAATCTCTGGAGATATGGTGTCAGGAACCTACCCTTCCTCTATGTTGTGGCTCCGTGCCCCTGTCTTCATGGCTGAACGTGACTCACCAGTTCTAGGCACACAGGGCAACAGAAAGAAGTAGGAAATGAGGAAGAGGCAGACACAGCCATTTTTTCAGAGCACATCCAAAATGGGTCACATCTCTCTTCAACGCACTTCCCATTGGCTGGAACTTAGTCACAGGGCTGCACTTCGCTGCAAAGGAGTCTGGGAAATGCTGTCCTTAACTGGAAAGCCATTTGCTCAGCTAACACTTAGGAAGCTTATTACTGAAGAAAAAGGGAAGATAGGATACCAAGGAACAATTGTCATTTTCTGTCATTTATAAGAGATTAAGTTAATAAGTAACAGAGAAACTTGATTACTTTCATCTGTTAAGCCAAATAAGTTTATCTTTAGACATGAGCAAACCAGATGGGAGAGCATATGTGATTGCCACCTCACAAACCTACCTATTAAAATTCAACAAGTCTATGGGAAGTCATTTGGGAAATTAGTCCTTCTAAAATTAGCCCTTCTAAAGTTCTATAAATACACGTAGAAATAGCCTGGTAGGCCAGAGCCTCCTGTGAGATTCAATCTGAGCAGGAAGAGAGGGTGCCAGGGGGAACCACGCTCAAAGAAGAGGACAGCAAGCTGCTGGATGGAGCTGGTGACATCAGACCAGGTGCACGTGGGTTGTGGCAGAACTTTGACATTAGAGTTGAGAGGTAGGCAGGATCAAGTACGCTCATCATGGAAGGACGACTAAAACAGGGGCTTCAGGGACTGACCCAAATTCTTTTAGGGGGCCCCAACTGTCACAGATGAGGAGCAAACCACTGTTGCATATAGGCACAAGGACCACTCACTATAAACCCCTAGGTGAGGGGAATTCAGACAGCAAGGTGAGAAAGACCAGAGAGTAGCAGCCACTGTAGGGTTAGGTTGGGAACAATCTCTGGGAGTTAGTAATAATATAATGGGAAAATTACAGCCATGAAACTGCAGAACCAAAAAGTCCTCTTAGCAGACCAAGATTGTTGGCTCCTTACAGCTATTAGCAATGAGGCTCTGCCCTGGAATTGACAGGAAGAGATACAGGCCCAAATGGTCTCTCAACCATTTTTAGAACTAAATAATTTCTTTTTCAATATGTTTTTAGAGAGAGAGGAAAGGAGGAGAGAGAGAAAAAGAGAAACATCAATGAGAGAGAAACATCCATCAGCTGCCTCCTGCACACCCCCTAAAGGGGATTGAGTCCACAACCCGGGTATGTGTCCTGACCAGGAATCAACCCGGTGACCTCTTGGTTCAGGGACCACACTCATCCAACTAAACCACACCAGCCAGGGCAAATTCTTTCTTTTTTTTTTAGGACTAAATTATTTCAATATCACCAATCATTTGTTACTGGCATGAATATTCTGTCTTTACCTCATTTATGAAATATGTTATTGCATCTCAGACTGAAAATGGCTCTCCCCATGGAACTTTTGTCTTTAGGAGTCAGTGCAGACTGCCTGAACCTCAGCAGCAGGAGTACAGACTTCCTGTTTACTATATCTGAGTGGCGCCTTGGTGATAATGACAAAGTTGTATTAATGAAGTCTCAAACACCAGAGCAGTAGGAAATCAGAAAGACAGTCTTGAAAAATGAGATGACTCAAGGCTTGAGGTCATAATATATCAATGATAATCATGTTCTATAAGGCACTTTGAAAATTATAAAATGTTTAATTACACATTGATTTTGGTGTAATAAACACTTGAAAATATACCGTTTTATAGGTAAGCAAGCAGACTTGGAAGGTTTTAGTAACTTGTCTAAAGAATCATGACCAAAATATTGTGAAGAGAAGAATTAAATGCAGATGTTCTAACTCTGTGTCCAGGGCTCTTTCCTGTATGACCCCTGCCTCTTTTGAGCTTTAAGCGATTTCATGAGTTTTCTCATTTGTCCATACGTCCGTTCAACAGCTATTGATTGCACACTCCTCTGTACCCATCACTATCCCAGGCACTGAGGATGCTGTGATAGACAAGGCATAGTCTCTGCCTTCTCAGCAAGCCTACAGTCTAGGGGGGATAGAGGCATATAACCCACACTGCCTGTTATGCCACTGAGGTGTCTGCTACAAGCAGGAATACAGTGGCTGTGGGCGCACAGAGAAACCATGAATCAGGAGAGGCTCCCCAGAGGAACTGATTTTTACACTGAGTCCCCAAGGTTCAGTGGGAGCTGAAGGAATGAAGAGTGTTCCAAAGCAAAAATAAAGCATGTCTGAAGTCACTCCTGAGGGAGAGGTGACCCCAGATCAGGTCTAGAACCAATGGATTTACAGATTCAACAGTGCACACATTCCTGCTACCTGGCTAATTAGAGACATCATCCATTTATCTACCCATCTATCCACCCATCCTTCCATCCTCCCTCCCTCCCTCCCACCCTCCCGACCCCAGATGTCTAGAACCAATGGATTTACAGATTCAACAGTGCACACATTCCTGCTACCTGGCTAATTAGAGACATCATCCATTTATCATCTAATCTATCCACCCATCCTTCCATCCTCCCTCCCTCCCTCCCACCCTCCCTCCCTCATCTATCACCAGTGGATTGTCTGTAACCCACTTACATCTCCTCCTTGGATTGTCGTGTATAAAACAAAGTGCCGCCCCGGCCTGTTTTGGTCAGTGGGTAGAGCATCGGCCTGGGGACCCGAAGGGTCCGGGGTTCCATTCCAGTCAAGGGCGCAGGCCCGGGTCACGGGCTTGATCCCCAGTAGGGGGTGTGCAGGAGGCAGCCGATGGATGATTCTCTCTCATGGTAGATGCTTCTATGGCTCTCTCTCCCTCTCCCTTCCTCTCTGAAATCAATGAAGATATATTTTTAAAAGCCACACAAATGTATTATTGCACTTCCATGTAGTAAAAAGCATACTTGTACAATGTTTTGTACTTGCATTTTGTGTTATTAAAACACTGACGGGCATGGGGGGAAGGGGAGTGCTGGGCCGGCCCCGGGTGAAGGGGGTGGGGCGCCAGCGAAGATGCCAAACTTATATATATATAAGACCATGGCATATATCATACAAAATATATGCCAATTGACTGTTATCAGTAAGGCTTCTGGTCAACAGTAGGTTATTAGTTAAGTTTTGGGGGAATCAAAGGTTATATGTGTATTTTCAACTGCCTGGGGATCAGTGCCCCAACCCTGCATGTTCAAGGGTCAACTGAATTTCCAAATTAAACCACAAGCCTGCTTCTCTCATTCCCACTAGCTGCAGCATAGTCACTGGACTTGCAATTATTTTTATTTTGAAGAGAGGAATACTTGCTGATTTTTAAAAAGGAGAATTTTAAAACAAATACAATTTCTGCCTTTACAATGTGAACTCATATGCCTTTCTAAACAAACAATACCTAGAGAATGATGAGCATGAATACACAATGTTTGCCCACAAAGAGCTCCCTGCCTGGTAGAGAGATGGACAAGTAAACAATGTGGTGAAAGACTTGATAACTGACCATTGATGAGCACAATTTATGATGGGAGTACAGAGAATAGGCACCCAACCTTGTTTGGGAATGTCTAGAATGACTAAAGGAACTGATGGGAAGGAAGGCAAGTTGGATCAGCCCAGAAGCCTTCCTGGGTACCCACCCAGGGCCTGATGGAGATGTCATGCCTCGGTCCCCCAGCAGCTTGTCACACTGACCTTTATTGGTTTACTTGTTCATTCTCCCCCACAAACTGGTAAGCTTCTTTAAGGCAGAAACTGTGTTGTCATTGTTATCCATAGTGCCTATCTAGTAGGAGCTGATGCATAAGAACCATCTGATAAGTAAAGATGTGAAAGTTTCTAGGATGATAAGAATACTCCTTCTCTAAGATGGACTAATGTTTAAAGACAGTATTTTATGTCAGCTATTGTCAACTGGTGTGCCACAACATCTTAAAAATATGCAATACCTGACTATTTAGTCAGGGACACCGACCTCTTTTCCCTTAGATTGTCAAATAAAAAAATGACAACAGCCAACACAACAATAGCTATCTGGTGTGAATTAATCAAAATTATATCCTTTTTTTATCAGATAAGCAAAAAATATATTTTTGGTGTGCCACAGAATTTTAGTAATTAATTATGTCTGCCATGGGATAAAGAAAGTTGAAAATCACTGTTTTATATGTATGCCATAATATATTAAAAATCTCTACCTCTTAGTGTTTTAAATGCCAATACCAAACACTAGATGCAAAAACAGGGTCAGGCACTCTGAGAGATGCAAAAACAAACAAGATACAATCACTGCTCTCCATAAATTTACAGCTTAAACTGGAATCTTTCCTGCCCTACCTTCCTTCCTTTCTTCCTGCCATTCAGCCATCCAGATTAGGTGCTAAGATGTTTATTGCATGGATTAATTAATTTAAAAATATTTATTGAGAGACATAATATGTGCCAGGCACTGTATGCGCCAAGTGATGTAGAGGCATAAAGATACATAGACCTTATCCCAGCTGACGTGAAGCTTAGCAGGTAATTGAAGAGATAGGCCTGTGCCCGTATTACTGAAGACCAGCTGCATGGAACAGGTGTCCTAAGAGATGCCCCAAGAAGTTACCACTGGCTGAGGGGATGTCATTTGGAGGAAATTTTACGTTTCGGTGATGAAATCGATAGACCAATGTCAGACTGGACATTCTCCATTGTGTGTGTGTGTGTCTGGTTGCTTATTTGTCTAATTTTGTTTTGTTTTCTGAAATTCGTTCTTTCATAGATTCTGTGGCAACAGCATCCGGGCCATTACTAGTTGAAGTTGCCAAAACTCCTGGTGCCAGCCTTGGGGTTGCCCTTACTACCTCGATGTGCTGTAACAAGCAGGTCATTGTCATAGACAAAATCAAATCTGCAAGCATTGCGGACAGGTGAGTGTCGTAGGAAGCACCAGCTTTCCAAAACTGCATGTGTGTTAAAACACACACACAAATAGTATATGTATACAGGTTTTTATATGTTATACATGCATATGTGATACATGTACATACACACATACATGCATATACACACACAGTAAAACACAGCTCTCCTGCCAATTTACACAAGTTTCAGTTAGAAAACAAGTTAGTGTACTAGGGCTTAAAAATTCACCTCCCTTATCAGCCACCCCATGATGTAATGTCACCTCCTCCAAATGTTTGGTGTGGCCTTTGAAAATGGAAAAGAAAAAAGTCAGGCTGAGTAAGTTTTCCTACCATGTCCTGGGACGAGGGCAGCTGAGCAGAACTTTATTAGGCTCCATGCAGGGAAGCCATGGCGTTCCCTGACTGCTAACAATTCAGTCCTGCCACCGTAAAGCCCCAGTCCTTTTCTCTTAAAGGAATAAAACATTTTTTTAATTACACCGTCTTTAAAGAAAGGTCCAACTTTTAGTATGTTAATCTTAGGGTTTCACAAACTTCAAGGGTCCCTAAAAACATCATTCATTCCTATGACAGTAAAAATAGGAAGTCCATTTTCTTGAATTCCTTTTCCTAATTGGTATTTTAGACTTATAAGTTAGAAGAGGGATAACAAAGATGACTTTACCACCTAATACATTATGTTACAGCTCCCGGTAAGAAAATGCCCACCTCCCATAGCTGAAGCACTCCAAGTACCTCCACGTGGAATTATAATTGTAGATGGAAGAGATGACTTGAAATGCTTTTGTCTTGAGAGATGGACTATTCTCACGGTGGACATTTTTAGATAAGATTGAATGCCCAGTTCACCCTGCATGTCTTCAGCCCACTTCCCCATATGCCCTCACCATGCCTGGTACACCTCTGGCTGTGTGCAGTGACCTGCAGCAACCCCTGTAGTGGCCAGCCTACCGCCCCACTGTGGTCTTACCCTACATTCTGTTCTTTAACCATGATGGCCACTGATCCAGGTGTGTCCAGTTCAGTGGTGCAGGTTGCTCTCATTTCCTCCATCTTTTCCCATCTGCAGGGGGAAGCAGTGTCAGGAGCTGTCCACTTGCCTGGTACATCAAGTGTGGTACTGACCACTGTGCTTTTCTCTGCTCACCCAGTAGCCAGTCTCTGAGCTCAGCGAGATGTAGCAGCCCCTTCTGCCCCCAGCACTCCTCATCTCTCACCACGCAGGCCTTGGTTTAGTGCAGTGATGGCGAACCTTTTGAGCTCGGCGTGTCAGCATTTTGAAAAACCCTAACTTAACTCTGGTGCCGTGTCACATATAGAAATTTTTTGATCTTTGAAACCATAGTAAAACAAAGACTTA